CATCACAAACCGATCAGCTCTGCGTATGATCAAAACAGAGCCAGCGGCACGACCGAGACTGCTGAGTTGGACCAAGACTCGCACGGCTCCTCGCACGGCTCCTCGCACGACACGGAGAAAAACCTAATTCCTCCGTGTCCGAGGGAGATCATGAAGCAATTTTGGCCGTGATAGATTTGATGACCCGTCGGTCTCTTTGTTGCCAGAAACAGTTTGGAACCCACAGTCTCGGGGTTGGAACTTTCTGTAGATGAGTCTGTGAAAAATCCATGGCGCGCCGGACTGGAGTCATTCATTTCTCTTCACTTTTCCAGTCAACCGATTCCTTGTTGCCAAAAAGAAGGCAATCTTAAGAAGGAGCCGATTCGGTGGCAGGAGGCAGGCAAGTCCACTGGCTCGGAACCCCGTCCGTCCAGGTGCTTTCCTGGACAGTTCGCGCCCTTCAAGAATACGCCACGCTGCTATCCCTGCCCTGCGGGTGCATCGTGGGCAGCCCAGTCCGAATCCGCCGTTGGGGGCGGCGATGGAAGAGCGATGTCGTTGTCCAAGAAAGCATCGTTCCCAAGGGGTGTCAACCGGGTGCTCACTTCACATCCACTCACGTTTTCCGGGACAAGGACGCATCATGAAAAGCATTCCAAAGGGGGGTCCCTGTTGGTACGCCCTTCTCAATGGACCTTTGCGTGGCAGAGCGAAAAAGAGGTGAAAAAAGACTGACAGTTTGCCACCACAAGTGCAGAACTCACCAGAATGATGGCCCACACATACACCCACACTGACCTGGACTGCCAGCCAGACCGCGATGGGGACCGGATGGCACAGACTGCGTGTGCCACACCATGCCAGACCACCCACAGCAAGCTTCATCCATGTTTCACCCCCATCTATAGGCATACATAGCTAGCAATGTGAGCTAGAATGGCCCTATATTATATAGTACATGTGCCCTCCGTTTGGCTCACAGCCCCATGGATGTCTAAACCACATGGAATGGATGTGATTGCACTGGGCTCTCCAAGGTGTCCAGACTTTGGCACCACTACTCCGTCCCACCGGCATCGTCGGGTCGTTGGCGAGCGGAGCCCGTGGGGGTGACCTGTTGGGCCGAGCCAAGTCGTCGTCTGCACCGCTGCGCTGTGGGGCACTGCGGCACTGGACTCGACTCGATCTCTGTTTGTTCAGATATGAAACGAAAGTGCCAGGGAGATGCACCATTTTAGATCCATTTAGAAACTCCCTGTAGTTTTTCTGCCGGGTATTCTTCAAACTGGTTGTGTATCAGTCAGTCGGGGGTGCGGCATCTTAAGGCAAGCTATCAAAGAACTGTCCCAATCGGTGTCTTCGCTCAACAGGTTTGCGCGAGGCTCCTTCGTTGCGAATCTGTGAATCAAAGCACCATCGATGACCCTTTTGTGGTTTGGATCGGTGGCCAGGTTCATTTGCCCTCCAGGCACCTTCCGTGAGCCGCCTGGAAACCCAAATCATTGGGTGATCCAAGCAAACGGAGCGCAGTGTGTTTCTTCGCTCCAGCGCTGTGGGGATCGAGGCGTTTCTGAAGTGTCCGAAAATGTATTTCAACCAAGATTGGGTTGGGAGGTGTTGAGACTGGAGGTTGTTCACACAAATCGTCCCAAAAGGCCCTTTAAAGGCTCTTCAAGTCACAAGATGATCGGGTGTCTTCAGCTTCACGCTTCAGCTTCCGGTCTCAAAACCGTTGGTTTATGTGGGATCAGTCAGGTCCCTTTTGCACCAACTGAAGCACCGGGTGTGCTGGGCCCGAGCACATGCTCGTGTCAACACGCCACAAGCCCTTCAGGTCTCTGGGCAACGGCTCCCAAAGCACCATCTCTTGTGAGCCTTGTGCAGCTGGAACTTGGTGACTCGGCTCAGAAGGGAACTTGATTGGAGGATCATGGATCCTCAGTGAGATGTTGTGTGAGATGTTTTGTGTGCTTCAGTCGTTTTGCTTGTGTTCATCTAGTTTTTGGTGGTTCACCTTCTTCACCTTTTGGTTTGCAATGTTTGGCCATCCATCGTGCGAATTGGTTTCCAAGTGACGAACACCCGGGACTCTCCACCGGCCCCGGTGGCATCGCCACCCGGTCGCCCTCTCAGGTCGCCTTGGCGTGGGACGCCGGACTTCTCCTCCTGCGAGCCGTGTCCAGAGGGTCGAGCAGGGAAGCCCTCAAGCCAGCGAAGCGCCGGTGATCTGACGGGGGCCGGTGACCGGCTGGAAGGCCGATGAAGAACGGGTCCTGACTTGGGAATTGATTTTACTCAAGCAAACGAGGTGCGGCCCTTCTTAGGACAGGCAAAGACACTGTTACCAGTACTACTCAAGCAAAGCGGGTTCGGCCCTTCTCAGGGCTGGCAAAGACAGAGAACGAGAAAGGTTGGCGGGTGTATACCGGGGGTTGGGAAGAATGTAAGACTGCAAGGTGAACACGGGTTTCATCTCGTCCTAGATTAGTCCCCAAACGTCTTGTTGTTCTGTTCCGAGACTGCGGCACAGATTCCTTTTCATTACAGAATCATACAGGTGTAATACAGGTCTAACTTGGGAAACTCCTGGTTCTAGAGATGAAGCAGCCATTTCCAGGAGAATGGAAGTAGTGATTTGTGGGCGATCCAACGGTCTGATGTCCGGTGTTTTGTTGGTTTCGCTGATGTCCCACCCAGAAAGAAAACTCACCACGTCCAATCACCATTCGTTTGAAGCTGTTTGTGGTTTGAAACCGTCTATCTTCTTAACAGATGTTAAGTTATTGACTGTCAAGAGGTTGCGACACGTTTTCTCAGTGTTTTGGATGCGCCATGCTCTCGAACTTTGTGGTGCGGAGTTCCAACGGCTTGTTGGTGAGGTGGATGGTTGGTCAGGAGTTTGTCATTGAACTATTATCGAACTCCTCAAACAAGCTGGGGAATGATCAAAGCAAGACGCCCAACCAGTCCACCATGTAGCAAGCTTGACCGACACCAGGTAGGTTAGGTGAACGGTGTTTTATTCTTTTGCTTAGCATGTCACAAGTCGCTGCAGTGCACTGAGGTGTGTCCTGTTGGCACTGGAAACGTCTCACAGGGTACCATTTGCCCCGGCCTCAGAGACACAGCGATGTCTCCAACTCAGTGATGTCCGTTTTCGGCTCATAGAGGAGGGGGGTTCCATGTCAGGCACCGTGGAATAACCCGTTGGTCCTGCACGTGTTGGGAGGAATTCCCCCGCTGCCGGTCGTTACAGCGGTGTTCGGGGCTTGCAGCGGGTTCGAGCTGCAAGACCGAATCCTCAATCCCAACTGATGCGCTCAATGGACCTTACCGCACCTCAATGGACCTTTAGGTGCTTTTTGTCCTGGATCTCCATGCTGCTTCGTAAACAAATACTTTTCAGTCCAGGGAGTAGCTACAGAACCCCAAGCATGAAACGAGCTCAGGAGGGCTCCCACGTTTGGGAACAGAGACGCAGTTTAGTGGGGCGATCCACCCTATATGTATAGTTCAAGAAGGATGTCAAGGCTTCTTACTTCCATCACTCAAGGGTTTTTTTGGTCAGACTATCAGGCTTCAGAAGGCCCGTTCTTCAATAAGAATTCATTATACTGCATGTGCGAGGCCCGAACATTTGATCAGATCCGGCCTACACCTGGTTTTGGATCATTGCAAGTTGTTGAACATCCCTTAAGCACGGCACAGCAGCTTTCCAGCGTTCCAGTGGGCTGCGGCTGCGCCGGTTGCGCCGGTTGCGCCTCGTCTAGGCCCCGAGGGCCACATCTGTGGAGAGGGCACCACGCCGCTCGGCTCGGCTGGGAGCGGGTGTCCACAGCTCGGCCCCCCCGTTCTTTCGTCGCGTCCGATGGCGAACGAAGCCCAGAGGTTTGGACGAAAAAAACCCGTCCAAGGTTTTGATTTCAAGGTTCAGGGCCTGCAGGTTTGAAGTGGTTGAGTGGTCAGGGAAGCTTTTTGTAATCTAGAGTCTACAGTACCACAGGTGGAGCTGGCTCTTTTTAAAAGGATGCATGGAGCTCGAGCCTTCGTGTGCTTGCGTACAATGTGGTACGACCCCTCACCATATGAGTCGAGGGCTTACAATCCATGGTTTGGTAAGCTTTATGAACCCAGAGTCTACATTAGGATCACGAGCTTTTGTGGACATGTTTGAGGATCTCGTGCGCCGTATCACCATCCAAAGGATGTTTCTTCACTGCCCCAGAAGTGCGGCTCGGGATCTTGATTGGACACCCAGCCTGGATGGTCTAGTAGATTCAACATCGAGGCCTGGCATAGGCCTCTCTTCTTGTCACATGTCCGACTTGAAGACAGCTACTCTGCAGGATCCCACCTCAGTTCTACCTCAGCTTCGGAGTGCATTCAGCTTCGGTCTCCAAACCGAGAGACACCACACGGCCGCCAACAAGGCCAGAGGAACAGACGGCGATCCGCTGCTACGACGGCTTCTTCTGCCGCTCCTCCACCACGTCCGGGGCGCACGAGTCGCGCGAGTCGTGCATCGGCCGGTCGCGGTGGACACCCGGACATGAGGGGTTTGGGGAGGCGGAGATATGGGGGTTGCTAGTGTTAGCTTCATGGACAGGCCAGGGAGGGGCTGGCCATGTAGTGGCATGTAGTGGCTGTTTTTGGAAGCTCCAGTGGGTTCACTTGCTTGATAGCGTACTTTTGCAGTCAACAGCTGTCTCCGATATGCTTGTACGGTCCATGCTGCTTAAAGGTAATCAGAATTAGTATGAATTAGTATGATTTAGTATGAACGATGCTCCTCACTAAGTTGATAGTCGTTGTTTTCTCGAGGTCGGCTCGGGAATTGGGCGACAAATGGATGAAGAGCGGAGCAGCCAATGTGAAATGTCATCAAGAGCGGTTCACATGGTATATCTTGACCTGATCTACACAATTCACATCTCATCTAGAAACAAATGCATCGCTACTAGTAACAAGTGCCTTACTACTAGTAACAAGAAGCTATATATAGTCTATCATCTCTTCCAGACTTGGAAGAAAATCCTCCACGGATTCAGTGCTGATTGACGCCGTGCCGCGCTGAAAGCGATGGCCGAAGCCGAAGAAAAGGCCAAAGACGGACAGTCGACACTTGGCCAAGTCCAGGATTTGTTGTTCTTTTTCTATCCATGGGGGCACTCCGCGCTTCTTTTGCGTCGAATGATACATGAAGCATTTTCGTGCCGGCCTTCGGTCGAGTATGTCATGTGTGTCCTGTTCTTTCTGTCCGCTGATGCTCATTGGTGTTGTGATATTTTCCTCCGACATTAGGATGACCCCAGAAAAGTCAAGTCTGTAGCGTGAACCAAGATTTGATTGAACTCGCAGAGTTCACAACCATAAATAATGGATGAACCGCCATGCCACGGACCTGTGCCAGCTGCAAGTCACGTGTTTGAGACGTTTGTTGTTACTTGATCTCCGAAGGATCATCGAGATTTTCAAGAAGTTCGACACCAACAGCGATGGTGTCATTTCAAAGGAGGCCCCGGCCATCGTTCGCGTTCTCGGCCCCTCGTGCCAGGGCGGAGCGCATTCTCCGCGGTCTCGGCGCCGCGACGGAGAACGACGCTGCCAGGAGCTGACGCAGTTGCTGAATGCCTTGGGCCCTGAGATGTTTACAAAGGAGATTGACGTGCTTGGTGGAGGGCTGATGCGGCTGATTTTGATGGAAAACCAATGTGTTTCTCCCAGTCCAGGTCACATAGCACATCAAGTAGTCACATAGTGGTCACCAAGAGACGGACTCGCCCTTTAGGAAAGTGGTGGAACGCTTTTGGTGTTCGCCAGGCTGAGGGCCTCGCCGGACGGAAAGCAACTGCCGAGGTCCGAGGTCGTCGGTCTTGGTGGAGGAAAAAACATTCGTTTCCGAGTTCGGGTGGTTCGAGTTCGGATGGGGGAACCCATCCGCGACGGGAATTCCGGATCAAACTCCGTGGTCCTGGTAACACCTAGTCCTCACTGGTCAAGTCAGCTAAGCTGGCACCGGCAGCATCCGGCAGCCAAAGGGAAGAGCCCCTTCGGCTGATTTGGCCCACCGGCAGGATTCCTTGGAAACGCTCCTTTCCGCCATGGACTCCAACAACGATGGCAAGGTGCCGCGTCGCATCGCACCGGACCCAGCGCTCGAGGGTAGACGTCACATGTGAGGCTGTGTGCGCGTGGCCCTTGAAAAAGGACATGGATGGAATATGCGGCAGTGCTAGTTCTGCATGTTCCGATTCCGATCTTCGCCCCGAAGATGGTCGATTCCAGGTTCAATATGCAGAGTTTGTGCACTGGCTGACCGGTGAGGACGAAGACGAGGCCTGTGGGATGGATTGGTCGAGCTATCGAAAGGATCCGGAAGGTGTGAGGCATTTGATTCACTTAATATCAGGAGCAGGGGAACCACACCGACTGCAGTGCCGATATGGCGTTGGGAGTCTGGTCACCGGGAACTTGAAGAGATGGCGTTTTAGTGACCCCTGTGCAATCAAAAAACTGATTTGGGATTCGGGGGGAATCAAATGGATCATGTGGACGCTCTTTCAGTGGCGGTGGTTACGTGGAAAACTCAGCACCAAACATGGGTCTTCGGATTGGAATTCTTCGTTCTGGAACTGGAGTAGGAGTTCACCCTACTTGACAACTCCCCGTTTCAAAAGACTCGCAATTCTCATCTATTTTCCGGTCCAAAACCGGTCCAAAAAGCGTTTCATCACACCTCTCACGGGGCACTCGCCCGGTGAACACCAGGCGCACAAAGTCTGGTCTGTCGGGGCTCCCGAACGACGCGCGCGCGCGGGGTCTCGGGGACGCGGCACCGGTCTCTTTGGGGGCGGGTTAGGGCACCCGGCCGATGGTTCCGGGTGAGGGGAAGCGGGTTAGGGCACCCAAAGTGTGTGCGGCATGTTTGTTCAAAAATTCGAGGCCCCAGAATGGACGAAGTATGGACTGCTGAAGTTCATGTTGCGTCCGAAGCATGCAACATGCGGCAGCATGTTTGTGGATGTGCCAGGTCACGATGCCTGGTAAGATGTTGCCGAAAGGCGCATTAGCCAGATTGGATGCAATTATCGGCATGCCGCCTGGCTTGAAACATCTCGTTTTTGCAGTGCTTGGATGTGCCGTTCGCTTCGTTCATGCTGTATGAGCCATGTATGGGTATGGTCCGTATGGTTCAATCAGGCCCAGTCCGGCGGTTTGGGGTTTTCCAGGGTTTTCCACTTGATGTCTCCAGTAGACCGGGGATTTGTGAGGCCAATTACACCTTCTTAGGGCATTTGTTTAAATAGGGCCCTTGGACCTGACAGTTCGATGGCCACGATGGAGTACACCGGGCGAGCCGTGAGTCCGAACTGGCGACGCCCTGTGTCGCTCCTCATCGCTCCCGTTCGTCGAGATCCAGGCGACCGGTCGGCCGGACGGACGGACCGGGGAAAATGTTAAACACGTTACTTCGAAGAAGTGTTCAAAACTAAAATTATAGCATAAAAACGAAAACACTATTCACAAAAAAGTCACAGCAGACTACCCCATATAACCTCATTCATTTTTCAATATCATAGCTACTAACCATTTGGTACCTCATTCATTGTTCAAAAGCATTACAGTGAATACATAACTATCTCATTCATTCCACAACATCATCACTAAGAACCATCTATTACCTCATTCATTCCTCAAAAATCATAGCAACTAACCATCTAGTACCTCATCCCGTTTATTGAAATCATAACAGTCAATACATCACCTCATCCATTCCATGCCCAAAACAAAACAACCAAGCAACAAACAAAAAAAACAAGCAAAGAACAACATAAAAACAAAACAAAACAATAGACAACAATACATCATAACCCCTCACCTTTAATAATCATATCTTCAAATCCATAGTTTTAATATAGTTTAATAGATGTTATTAGAAATATGTTAGTAGTGAATGTCTTCAATAACTGTTAACTTAAAATGAAAGGCTTGTATTCCTATTATACTATCTTTATCTTGGTCTCCTTCAATGGCGGTGTTTATTTATTCAACTGGTTTATGTAATACTGCATCTATATTATCTTCATCTACATATTAATCAAAGTAATTCATAAAGTAAATCTCTCTATAGATACATTCATGTTTTCCTTATTCCTTTTATGGGACTTTTGCCACCAATTCAACTTCAATATCAAGTTTAACTCTATAATTTGAATCATCTTCTACTTCTTCATAAATCAAAGATAGTAATTCTTCTTGTTATTATGTATTCTATGCTTTTCAAACTAAATGACACTCCCTCTCTCATAATACAGTATTCAATTTTGTATATGTGTACTTGATTTCAATTGTCTTGTCATTTTAGGACCAAGTCTTGAAATCTTATATTTGGTTTGTATTCTCTTCAATGCTTCACTATGGTTTATTTTCACATATTCAGGTTCTCCATGAGTATATATGATACAATTTTACTCAACACATTTACTGGCAAATCCTTCATACAATCCATCCACTAATATACTTAACTGACTAATCTTTAAGTAAATAGTCTAAGATTAATATAAGGCATTCCTTAAAAACACAAAAAAAACTACTTAAAGACAGATTAAGTAAATATAATATATATAATATTAGCTGATGAAAAAAAGTTATATATAGACTATCTGTTGAGTAATGATTTAGCAAAAATACCAAAAAGATGACGAAAAAGTAAAGTCCATAATCATAGATGAAAATAAATTCAGATACAACAAAGACAAACCCATATCACATGGTTTAACAAAGAATTTATTTTCAGTAAAAACTAATAAATACAGAAGTTATGCGTTAAACAAGGCAAAGGGTGCTTTCAATGAAGGAAGAGTAAGACAAATACTGACCAAACACGCAATCAGAAACAAATTTAGGGTCAGAGATGTTCAATCAGCATTTAGAGCATATGCTAATTCAATAAATGTTTGTTGCTTGGTTGTTTTGTTTTGAGTATGGAATGGATGAGGTGATGATGTATTGACTGTTATGACGTCAATAAAAGGGATGAGGTAAAAGATGGTTAATAGCTATGATTTTAGAGGAGTGATTGTTTCCAGCGGATTTGAGCACCTCATGGAGCACAGTGAGTCGACAGAGGACAAGAGACTCGCAAGCCAGGCCTCTTCCAGACAATTTGGCACACCGCGAGATGAGTATAATCCAAGGAAATTTATTTTTTTTTATTTTTATTTTATTTTTTCTTTTTTTGGTGTGTGTGTGTGTGTGCGTGTGTTTTTTCTTTCTCTCCTTTTTCTTCTCTTTGACCGCGCCCTCGCCGCGCCTCGCCGCGCCTCGCCGTTCCCTTCCTGCGCCGCCCCGTTCTGCTGCTGTTTTCAGGTCGCAGGTCGCGCCTTCGATTTTGTGTAGAGGTTGCTGCCGTAGAGGTTGGGCGGATTTAGAGGTTTAGGTGGGACTGGGTAGTTAGAGGTCGCGCCAGTGGCTCAATAGTTGTTGTTGTGTGTGAGTGGTGTGTGTTTTTTTTGTTTTTTTTCCTTTCCCTTTTCTTCCTCTTCTCGCACTTCCGGCGACTTCACACCTGAACAGCTTTTCGGCTAATCCAGCTCATGATTTTTGTTGTTCCCTTCTTGTTTGGCCTGCATATGGAGAATTTTTTTTGGGCAATGCAGCTTGCTCAAATGCAAGCAAGTATGATGCAAGCCTTGGTGCAACCGCAGTGGCCACAAGCATATGATGGGGAGCCGCTGTTACAGCCACTGGGCCAACATGCTCCACCATCTGCCTCGGCTCCGGTGCCAACTGTCGTTGTCCAAGCTGCTCAAGGGTGTGAACCTGCTCCCGATGGTACTGGTAACATCCAGGAGCAATGCCCAGGAGGACTTCGTCCTGCAGAGTATCGTAGCCGTAGCCGGACACCTCCCCCGCAAGTGGCACCCTCTACACCTGAGGTGCCCTCCCCTGAGGCCTTGGCTCTGGATTCTCCTGAGATGCCTGATCAACCACTGGAACCCCCTACACCTGAGGTACTCCGAAGGCTGTTGACCATCGCCAAAGAAGGTGACATGAACATGTCTAAGACTGAGGCCACTGAGCGGCTGAGTACTCTGGCTACGCAGGCTCAGGCACGAGTTGCTGAACAGCTAGCTCAGGTCTCTACTGTTGGCACTTGCCTATCAACAGGGCAACGACCAATGGGCAAGGCTCATTTCCAACCTGCTGAGGTCCAACAGGCGCGTGAAGCCATTGCTGCCCTGACTGAGGACATCACTAAGGTGTGCAAAGCCCGACCAGCTTCAGCCCAGGCCACCCTCCAGTTGAATGTTAAATTCGCTGAGCCAGTTCCATCTGCTGGAGATTTGGCTGCGAGGATTCAGGGCCTGTTGGGGGCTAAAGGGCCTGCTATCAATGTTGAGCCTTTGGAAGGACCCATTTGGCGCAAGCCTTCCACGAGCACTTGGTTTGCTGAGCGAAAGGGAGATGCAAGGAATTGTGTTTATAGAGTGAATATCCCACCTGACTCTTCCCACAAGAAACCGAGGAATCTTAGTTTCCAGGTCGCTGTCGGTGGTCGAGAGCTTACTGTTAAGGGGGTGAAGGGCGCTCTCCAGCAGTTGGGGCCGAATATTGTTTTGATGTTTGGCCCGCATCGTTGTGTGGATGCTGCCAAAACACAGGCAGCGACCACGAGCCTGGATGACTTTTGGGGTACTCGTTAAGATCGCGGGATACCTTTGGTTTTTTGAACCGCTTGAGAAAATGAATCGTTCTTTGCTGCCTCCTTCCTTTTTTTTCTTTGTTTGTTTTTTGTTTGGTTTTTGTTTTGTTTTTTTGTTTTTTTTGTTTTTTTCTTCCTTCTTCTTCTGCTTCGGTTGGTGCTTTTGGATCTTCTTTGTTGATTCTGAGTTTTCCCTGCGGCTTTTTGGGTTTAGGCTTGTGACAGCGTCTCCCGCGCCCGCCCTTTGTCCTCTAGTCTTACCTTACTTGCATGGATCTTGGGGTGGCTGCTGCTCATGATGAGCTGCTGAACTTGTCACGAGCTCCTTTGCCTTGTGCAGTGACAGGATCTGCACCTTGGCAGGCCTTGGTACTCAGAAGAGACATTCAGGCACTGCGGAGATCTGCGCCGCCTCACGGACTCTCTAACCTTAGCAGGGACCTTGACTCGTATAAGTCTTTTGACCGTGCAATCGGCCAAACTTTTGACATTTTAGACCGAAGGGCAGCTTTCGTGGCCGGTGGCTTAGCTTTCAACACTATCTTTGGCCCATGGGAGGGTGGAATAGCGACAAGTGAAGTGCCGCGTGAACCAGGCCTGGCCACGCACTCGATTTTTGACCTAAGAATACTGAGTTGGAATGTACGAGGTGCCCTGAGTGTGTCCAGCCGTCAGGAAGCTCAAAACGACCGTATTTGGCAGCTGGTTACAGCCTTGCATACCTCGCAAGTCTCCATAGCCATCATCAGTGACCCATGCTTTGGCCCCGGCATGTGTTGGCCCCAAAGATCTGGCTATGAGTTTTTTGGTGAACGATCTGTCCGCAATAATACCGTGGCTCTCCTGATTTCTACAGACTTTCTTGACAAAGTCAGTGTGTTAGCTCAAGTGGGGGATGCGCGGGCAATGTGGCTCCATGTCCACATCCCGGTGGGCAATGCGCGTGGTTTCCTTCTCTTGGCAACTTATGCTCCTCCCCCCAACCGTAGCCCGCTCGAACGCCGTGAGTTTTTTGAAGCGCGAGCTGCTGACCTCCAAAAACTCCGCACTGAACGACTTTTTTTATCATTACCTGTAATTTTGGCAGGTGATTTGAACATCCATATAGCAGAACTTTGTGATAAAAATGCACGACTGGAAAGACCCGTTGATCGAGAGATTACCGCCATGATCGTCAGCACTGTGGGCATGAACCTGGCTTTGCGGAACCCTTCCCAGATCGCCACACATGATTCGGGTTCTGCCATTGATTTAGTCTTTTCTTCGCATGAAATCACACCGGTTGTTGAAGTCTTGCCTAAAACGGAATTTCTTTTTTCTTCTGATCATCGACCGCTCCTAATTACAGATGTTGGGAGTATACCCCATGCTGAACGGCAGACCTTTGGCAAGGCAAAGTGGTCTCCTTCCAGTGACGCTTGGAATGAGGCACTCTTGCATGTCCCCTTGTGCTTGGAGTATATCTGTACATGGGTTCGGATGATTTTACGTGAAAATTTGCTCCGGGATTCATTAGTCGATGGGAAATGGCAACGTCTCCGGCAAGCAGTTGTCGACAGAGCCGTTTGGTGGCGCTCTGTTGTTCTTTGCTTAGCCGGTCACATGTGTGGTCTGGCCGTCACTGTCAAACCACATTCCTCAACCTATGGGTCCCAGGCCTTTCAGTTGGAAAAATTTTTGCTTGAATGGTATGGTCCTCAGTGCCAGAGCAACACGATTGAATATGAGGAGTTTGTATCTCAGGTTGGTAGAGCTGGTAGCCCCTCTTTGGTTCGGCACTTTCTTGACTCCCATGCCGCGGACCCTAGCAGGGCGCAGGCTCTTTTGAGCATGATGCTCAACCCAAGGGTTGCTACAGAGGTCAACTTTGTTGATGAAGCATCTGGCCGCAGGGCCTCTGATAGCACTGTTGTACAACTCTTGACGCAAGAAATTCTTGAGCGGCCTAGCCAGGCTCATCCAGGCATTGATACTTTCACTGAGGTTGTGCATGAGGCCTTACAGGCTGAGCGTGAGACTGCCAGGCAGGAAGCGGCCACTGAACCTCACATGTTTTTTGCGTTTGACGACGTCAAGCGTTGGGTGAGTGACATTTCGCAACATAAGGCTTCATTAAGATTTCCCAGAGCTGCTTTGGTCAATGAGAACCCCTTAGGGCTCGAACTCTGCTGGCTTTTACTCAATCTCTTTATGGCCCTGGGCGTCGTTCCATCGGCATGGATGCGTGAGGTGAGTTTCATCAGGAAACGGGGCCCCCAGGTTGTTACGGAGATGAAAAATCTTAGACCGATCAGCTATACTGACGAACTTCAAACTTTATTTGATTTGGCCTGGTTGCATTCTTGCCGCCACCTTCTTGAAACCTACATTGGCCAAGAACAAGCCGGAGGCCGATTTGATAGTACTTTGGTTTCTTTAGGTATTTTGATCGCGCTGCAGACTCGTCGGAATTGGTCTCTACCAACATTTTGTCTCAAAGCTGATCTTCTCCAAGGTTATGATCTGGCATGGAAGTCAGCAATGTTACTTCACACCCGATGGGCTGGCATTCGTGGTTCCTTGTGGTTGTGTCTTGACTCCGCTGTACAGCAGGATCATTTTCGCATCCGTTACGGGCCACTGGTTGGCCCTGCCATTCTTTTAATCACTGCTGGTCTTGGACAAGGTGGCCGTCGTGCTGTTCATCTTTTTGGTGCCCCGGCCAGAGGTATCCCGGACCAGCTGCGCCAGAGTGTCATTGGTGTCTTGCTTGGCACCTCTCCCATTTTGTTGGATCGACTACGGCTGCACAGCAGACCGTCCGGCGATGTTGAGGTTAATATCGTACCATACTTAGTTCAGGCATGTCGTGGAACTGCCCCACTGTCACATTCCTCTACCTTACTTCGCTCCACGAATTTGGAAACAGCCTTGGTTGCCTTGGACGTCCTAGCCACCCACTCCTTGCTAGTTTTTCAATTTGTTGATGACGTTTTTGTCTTTCAATCCACGCTGTGGGGTATGAATCGAGTATGTAAGGCCTTGGAACAGTTTTTGCAATTGTGGAAACACAGGTTTGCTGCTGGCCCAAGCAAGGTGGCCTTGATGTTGGTTCCGGCTAGTCTACCTAGCTCCACTAACCTTCCCAGTCTCGATGGGGCTGCTATTGGTTTGGTTTCCTCTTTCAATGTGCATTTGACAGCAATCTTAGCTTCGCCCACTTGCTTGAAGTCACGTGCGCTCGTTTTATACAGGAAACCTCCCAGCTCTGTGTCTCCCTACGTGATCTAGGCATTGTGCTCCCTCACCACACTCAGCAGGTGGCCATAAGGGTTGAAAGCTCAGTTTTACATGGCACTGAACCCCTGGCCAGTGCTGCAGTAGGGTGGCTGCAGGTGTCTAAACGTCTTAATGCAGCGCACTATAGGGCCTTGAAAGCCATACTGGGTATTGAGGGCATTTCCCTTGGCTCAGGGGGCTATGGGTCTTGTGCGCTTTAGGTATTGACCTACGTCTTGCTACCAAGGTGGCTTTGCGGATCTTGTCCGCCAGGGCTAGGTTACTTATGGTGCCCAGTCAAAGTGCCATTCCCGGCATCCTGGAAGGAGCACGGCGAGTGCCCGGAGCGACGTGGTTAGATGATTCCTTGGCATTGGAGCACAGATTTGGGATCCCTGAGGATTTCATTGAGTTTGCTCAGCATGTGGCTCCAACGATCTCTATTAAATCTAAGGTGCGCCTTTGGATACGGTCGGCTGTACTTCCCAAACTCCTGCATTTTGATCGCGACTGGCTTGCATCGCAGGAGCAAAATTTATTTCCTTGGCTGCATGATGCTTCTTTGGAGAAGAAAGTCTTGGCGATACTTGCATCGGCACACTGGAGTAAACGTGAGTGGCTCTATACTCGAGCTTGGTACCTCTCCCGCCTTTCCGGGCAAGTTCCCTTTGGTGTGTTTGGCCACCACAGCTTTGGCGTGGATCTCGGCTGCCCTCACTGTAATCACCCACTTACTTTGGCCCATCTGCTCCATCGGTGCACGGCCGTGGTCTCCCATGCTTTGCGCTGGGAGTGGTGGCTTGAACCGGTGCTTGAGTTGGAGCCTCTGCATCAGAAGATCCTCCACGTTGGTCGTTGTACTGCTCAGGTTCATGCGGCTTTGAAAAAATTGCGACCTCAGGTGCATTACGACGTGGCGTGGGTTTCATCTCTTTAGATGTTTTTTTAGTTGAAGGCAGCATGTTTGCAGCGTTTTTGGCGCCCACTTGTGCTCTGGTTGAGACCTTTTTTTTTCCCTTTCACCTTCATCTCCACCACTCCGGCCATGTTTGGCGCAAGTGGGGAGATTGCTGCGGGGCACCGTCTGACGTGTGCCACCCCAGCCGCCCGCCATAGGGCGTCCACCTAACAGAGCCTAACAGAGCCTAGAGGAATGAATGAGGTAATAGATGGTTAGTAGTGATGATTTTGTGGAATGAATGAGATTATGTATTCACTATGATGATTATGAACAATGAATGAGGTACCAGATGGTTAGTAGTTATGATTTTGAAAAATGAATGAGGTTATATGGGGTAGTTTGTTGTGACTTTTTTGTGAATAATGTTTTCGTGTTTATGCTATAATTCGAGTTTAGAAAACTTATTTGAAGTAATGTTTTTAACATTTTTTCGGGGACCCGCTCAGGTCGCCCCATTTGTCTGGAAATGTCACCTACCAAGATGCCGGGCCTCTCAGATCGGCCGACGAATTCGATGTCTGCGGAAGACAGTGGACACTGGCGCCAATAGAGAGAACACATGGGAAAGGCGCCAAGTGTTGCCGTGTTGCTCTTAAAGTCTGAACTCCAAACACCATGTCTGTGTGGCAAGTGTTTGTTGATCTGCAGCACGGGATTTGAGTTTTCAGAGTCTTAACACGTCTTAACCAAAACAGCAGGTTTGGGCATGTTCGGGGTCGAACCCGGTGCTTTTTTGCAGATCGGTTGGGGCATGGCGGCAATGGCATGTGTTTCTCGCCTCATCCGGTGAGGCTCGAAAAGCACTGGACAAGGGTGAGGAGAAAAGCGCTTTCCTGCGGTGGCCTCAGAGATAGTCACGATGGGATGCGATGGGATGCGATGGGTGCGTGTGTCCCTCCAGCGCTGACGCTGCTGCGGCTGAACTCGTGAACCTATATGTCCAAAAGGGGCATAACTACCACGCCTGCCACCGGTTTTTGAAAAAAGCGCCGAATGCGGCGACCTGTGTGTGTCCAACCCTGGACAAAGGGTCTTTCACCACCACTCTTTCCACTTTACACAGGCAGGGGGCTCACGGGTCTGTTCCTGGCGTGAGCCAACGAAGCTCCAGGTTCAGACTAGGATATCGAAAGAGGACGCTCTTTCGACGTACCTGCCACCTGAACTTTTGACCACGCTGTCTAATCTGCTTGGTTTGTTTCCATGGTTTTTCATGATACCCTCCCCTAAACCATTTCTTCCCCAGCAGCCGCGCCGCTGAATTGCTGCTGCCTTCGTGACAACAATGTTAAACCTTTCAAGTGCTCGGACCTATGCACCTTTCTGTTCTCTCACCTTCCTTCCCAGCGTGACTTGCGTTAACTGAAAACCAGTGTCAGAGTATGTTTCGCTCAGCCGTCCCACTCGGGTGCTGAGTGTTGCATGGGAAAGCAACCACCCCAACGCACCACCGCTCACTGGACTCTCACCGGAAGGCACCGACACCCTCACAGAATCAACCGCCACACCGGCCGCCGGGCCAAAAAACGGTTTCTTGAAGAATGCTTCAGATTCCAACTTTCAGATCTCAGATTTCAGCATTCAGTTTTCTTTTCATGTCTTCCAAATCATGTGCGTGTTTCTATGTTTGATATGTTGCTGCCGCGATTCTTTCATCGACAGAACTCAAGGATGGGCATTACAGCTCTTCAGCTTAATTCGAGATGCATGAACACACACCTACCAACAAGCTCACATCTAGCACCATCTTACAACATACTCACCATTGACACCAGAGATGACACCTTCAACAACAACAAGACAATACAACTCGGCACTTCACCGCTGCTTTTTGCTACCGCGCCGCGCCGCGCCATAGCTACGACCACGACATGCATTTTCCGTGGCCCTACGCTCACACCACGCCACCACCATTACCTACCACACAACCTCAACCCACATGGCCGATGCCACAACCATCAACTGCACCCACTTTTCCCCCGACACAACCATCGGCATACCCTCACCCACAACCACAACCATTTCAACCACCACCGTTTTTGTCCAACCCTACCGCCACTGCACTGACCTACGGCACACCATCCACTTGGACTTTTGTCCAACCATGTCACGTGCCACCGCAGCCCACACATCCAACTCCAGTTTTTCCGACAGCAGCACCTTCCCCTTCCTACCTGTTGCCACCACATCATCCCACACCACCGGCTGAACTCCCTCCCCCCACTACACTGACACATCCCCCTCCAACACAGCAACAGACTGCGATTGCCAATCATCCATCCACAGACCCCCAATGCGCCATCCCCCAGGGCGTTTGGCAACCCTATTCAGCTTTTCCCCCCGTCACACAGCCTCCACTCCAACCGTTGCCCCCGCCACCGCCTCCACAAACCATCAACGCCTCAACACCAGCCCAACCTCCACTTCAACAGCCGCCACCATCGGATCCAACACCACCAATCCAACCCATCCCCACGACTGCCCAGGACAATCCATTACCAGTCCAAAACACGCCCCCACCAGCTACCGTATCCCAACATTCAGCATCCCCATCGCTGGTATCTGCCACACCAGCGCCTGGATCTTCACTACCAGCACCAGACAAACCTGACACCACTACCTCACCAGCACCGCAACCACCTTCCCCGCAACCACCACACAGCAGTCGCCGCCACCACCACAAGAGCCGACGCAGGTCCGACCATCACCACAGAGCTCGCCATCGCCACCGCCGCCGACATCACCATCACCGCCATTCCAAACATCACAGCACAACCCGGCGACGGCGGTCGCCTTCAACATCCACTTACACATCCAGCCTTACGCCATCCCGCAGTCGCTCGCCACCACAACCCATTGATCTACGCCCTAACACCGAACACTCCAACCCAGACCCCTCTCAATTTCCCACCACAGCCGTCCTCCGTCGCCCAATCAACCGTTGGCGACCTCCACCCAACTTTCACACCTTTACACCTGCAGACCAAATCCTGGAATGGCTCGAATTCCATGCCACCCAACTCGACAATCCCAACCGACCACAACACCACAGGCACCTACGGCCCACTCACTCACGCACTTCGTACACATCACGTCCACCACTCCAACCCATATGTGACTCCACCGTACACACCGCCATCGCAGCATACACCCCCACCCCAGGCATCCACCTCACAGCCGGCGTTTCCACCTCCGCCACCGCCACCCCTGCCAACGGCCGAACCCGTTACTCCACCACCATCGACTTTCCAACACAGCCCACCGCCACCACCCACCACACGTGGCAACACAACGCCTGCCCCACCGCCCCCACACATCCCATCTCCCACACCACCTGTTCCCGACTCCTGGAACCCAACCGAGCAACATTGGGACTCCAACACCCTGCACGGCCACCAACTACATCGTACAATTCAACCCACCCAGTGGTCTCGAAAAGCAGGAGTGGCCGGCCTCCCCACCTTTGAGGTTTTCCCGTGGCAATTGGCTTACCACGGTACCTCCGAGTTCACCGCCCGTACCCTGAGCAACGGCAAATTCACAGGTTTCATTGCCACCAGAAGCATAGCGGAGTCGGTCTTCGTGACCCATTTTCTCCAACAACTCCGCGAGAACCGTCTTGACCTTGACGGCATCGCGGAGGCTCTCCACACTCAACAGAGCACAGACATTCCCAACAAAACTACCCATGCCCGAGCGTTTCACGCTCCCCTCATCAAACTGCTTATCGACCAACTGCAAACCCACTCTCCAGCACCTGCGGAAGGCTCCGCCCTACGCGCCCTCAAAAACACCAACGACGAACTGGCTCGTGCACGTCAGAAACTCCACGACCTGGGCAACCCACTCACACCAGTCAAGAACACCAGCCGATCTTCCGCACCAGCCGCCCCTTCTCACGCACCCACGCCACCACCACCGACACCACCAGCCATCACCGACGTCTTGCAACCACCACACCCCACGCTGCAAGACGATATCCCCGAAGGCTGGAACCACCCAGAGATCCAACAATGGGTCACTACCTTCGACCCCACCATCCAAGAAGCTGCGACGGAAGTCATCCGACTGCTGCAAACAAGCAAAGTCACCACGCAGCAGCTAAAAGAAGCAGCCACCAAGTATGGCCTACCCCTCAACCGGGTCAACCGACTCCCCATTCGCAGCCTACAACAGCTGGTGGGAGTCGGAGCAGCCATTGGTTGCTGACTCGCCATCTTGGCCCAGCAGCAACCCAGCCACACCAACCTCACCCAACTCTTCCACCTGCACCGAGCACTTTCCATGCTCATCCACCGCACCCAATACATCGACCGCGCCGAGGCCATCTTTGCAACCGGCCTCATCCACATCACCCTCCTTTTCGCATACCCGTCCAACACCCGTCGCTCACAACAATGGCGCAACCGTCTCCGCCAGCTCCACATTTTACCCCACACCTACCACTACCACAACTTCCTCTCTTCCAATTCCGTCTACATCAAGCTCCACTTCAATCCTGACCAGCCCCAACGCTGCTACCATCAACATGGCCACTTCTACGTTGGCTCCACAGCTATCGGCATCCCCCACCGCGAGCACAATCGCCGCGCCAAACTAAAACAACTCCAAAATAACATTCCCATTTCTGCAGAACTCTCCTTACGTTATTGGCATTCACACAACAACATCCACCACTACACCACTATTCAACTCACCTCCCATGACACATACGACCAAGCCTGGATCCAAGAGCACCACTACATCGCCAACTGGATGCCTTCACTCAACTGGCCTTTCATTTCCCACCACCTCAAACTCAAAGCTCAGGGATGGCAGTTCGCGAAACACAGAGCCCACTTCTACTCCAGATTAGCCACCCACAAACGACTTTTCCGACGCCTTCGACAACGCCAGTACACCCTCAGAGAACCACACCTCTACACTTCCACTAAGCATCACGCCCTCCAACTTCTTCGCAACCTTACCAAACACACCGCAGCCTCTTTTGAGGCAGCAAAACAGCTAAGAAGCGGCCGCCACACGGACCTCGAGGTGTATGCAATCCGGCGTATGGCCGCCAACTTGGAAGAACCTGGCCGCAGCCGAGCTCTTCACATCCTCAACAAAGCCTTGATCTACCGCAACCTCACGCCACCAAAACCAAACATCCCATTGACAGTGCCCTTCTTGGCCCATGACGACTTTTACCAAGCACTGCCAACAATGGCTTCGTACTACCATCCAGCAGCACAAGCATTTCACCATTCCCCTCCACCTCCCCTCCCACAGACTGAGGGAAGCCGCCCACAAAACCCTCCGCTCCCACCTGCACAACCATCGCACATGGGAGGACACCCTCCACTCCCCGCCAGATCCAGCCGACCTCCCCTGTGCATGCGATCATCTTCGCACCCTCCTGCAGGATCCCGATACCCCTACCATCAACGGCCACTACATCCTTACACTTGACCAACTCCAACTCCCTACACACCTCAGCATTTTCCTCAATGCCAATATGAACAGTACCTATTACCCAAGCAAAGCTCGTTACTTCCTCATTTTCAAGACGGCCTATACCAAATGGCTCAAACTACAAGGGCTTCCACCATCCCTAGTTCAACACCTACAGCCTTTCCTTGAGCACCAATGGCGCCTTCACAACACACACCTCAAGCAGCAACCCCGTTTTACGGCCCGCCTGCTTCGTCAACTCCAAGAACATTTGGGTAAACACACATTACTCCACCATGCCGATCATGAGCTCCAACAACTGCGACTGTTTTGCCCTCGCCAATACTTCACTGGCGCCTTGAACACCTGGCAATCCCCCGAACTATTTGAACCACTTCCCTACATCACTGCCGCCAACATCCATGACCACCTGGCCGCCACCGTCCCCCCCATCCTGCGCACCCGCTACAAGTGGGGCTTTCGAAAAGACTTCAACATCCCCTACGGTGTTGTCCACCTTAAAGAGAAGAAGCACTGGCAAAAAGGCCGTGCAATTATATCCTACTTCCAATCACTCAGCGGCAACTTGCTACGCATCACCAGCCGTGCCCTCGACATTATCCTCCAACACCTCTACCCTCAGCATCCAGGCCAAATGTCCATTCCTCAGCTTTGGCACCACTTTCACAGCTACCTCACCCAAACCCCACCCGACATCTCACTACACGCCACCAACGATGACCTGGTCGGCTTTTTCAACTCCGTCCCCCAGCACCGACTCATCGATGCAGTCCACTCCCTTGTTCTCCACTGGCAACAACAGCAATCCACACACACCTTAACGGTGGATGTCCAGGCCACCGGCAATCCTTTCCACCACTCCCACATTGGCAGACACCATCGCAAACACCCTACCCAACGCACCATCCAGACTTCCGACATCACCACCATTGTGGCTTTTGCCCTCGACACATGCATTTTCCGGGCTTGCAACAACACTTACAAACAAATCCGAGGGGCCGGGATTGGATCCCAGCTCTCTCCAGCCCTATGCAACGTTGCTATCACCCTCATTGAGCACTCCTGGCATCAGATACACAACAACCTCCTTCAACACACAGACCTCCACTTTACTTACTATCGCTATGTTGACAACCGTTTCATTGTCCACAACGAACATTTCCTTCAGCACCCGGCTATCCAAACCCTTATCCACCACAATTTCTTTGGCGACCCTGTGGAACTCGAACCGGTGGAGGATTTTCATCTCCTCGGTTTCAACATCGACCTCCCACAACGCACTATCACCTACATGCAACCTTCTCAACCCTGGAAAATCCGGGATTCCACAACCGCCGGGAGCCAGCGCTTGGCTCTATCAGGCCTCCAATCACGACTCCACACCATTCGAAAATACACATTGCCACCCTCCAGCGCTGACGCTGCTGCGGCTGAACTCGTGAACCTATATGT